TTGTATGTTTTCTGGCTGACTTTGAAGACTTGAGTTTTGAGAAAGTTGTCCAAGATGAGAAGTGGAGAATAACCATGGATGAAGAGATTAGGGCGATTGAACGCAACAAAACTTGAGAGTTGACCAACCTTCCTGAAAGAGCTCGACCCATTGGAGTAAAATAGGTGTACAAAAAGAAGATGAATATTGAGAGAGAGGTTGAGCATTATAAGACTCGACTTGTGGTGAAAGACTATAGACAAAAGGAGGAAATCGACTATTTGCTCCTGTCACGATAATGGAGTCAATCCGACTTCTGATCTCATTAAATGTTCAAAACCAATGACCGATTCTACAGATGGATGTGAAGTCGGCCTTTCTAAATGGAGTGCTGAAGGAGGAGGTGTACGTCGAACAACCACTCGAGTACATGAAGAGAGGGGATGAGAAGAAAGTGTTGAGATTGAAAAAAACCCTCTACGGGCTGAAGCAGACTCCTCGTGCCTGGAATGAAAGAATTGACGGGTATTTCAAGAAAAATGGGTATGAGCAATGTCTATATGGGCATGCCTTGTACACAAAGAATTTCCGTGAGCTTTAACGTATTTTCGCTCAAGCGAGAGTCAATCACACTTTCACCCTTGAGTGCGCCCTCACATCTAACATATAAATAAATATATAAATATATAACTATATAAATATATTTGTGTTTATATATTTTATATTTATATATTTACACTGGTATATATTTATTTATATATAAATATAATTTATTTGTAAATTATTATCAAAAAATTCTAGTAGTTTAGTGGTTGGAATATCAATCTCCAACTCTAAAGTACTCGGGTTTGAATCATTGTCAGAGGGACCTCTAAAAAAATAGAGGGATTGTAAATAAATATATGAAAAATCAGACTTTTCACATCGGTTATATAGATCTTTGCGAACTAGACATCTTTGCGAACTCAACAACTATTATTATAGACCGGTGGACCCTGATCTTGCCAGCTCATCCTTAAGATCACTCAGTTCTTATCCTCTAAATAGGATCATTCCAAAAGATGATGATTCCCAAAAGATAAAATTATTCAAATTAATGACTGAGATATATGTACCTGAAGAAGAATTTCAAAAGGTTGAAGATTTGACAAATAATTACAATGAAGAATTGATGGAAGAAATGATGATTCACAAAAGGATGTATCCATACTGGGACCCACTACATGGAAGTATGACAAGGAATGAGACACAACAAATGAATTGTTCCAATTCTACCAGGTCTGATTCAAAGTAAATGCTCTAGTTAATGACTGTTATCATGACAAGTTATTAAACCAAGATTCACTTATCTTTACACGTGTTCATTGCTTATATCGTAAACGTGTTAAAGGAGATAAGAAAGAATCCACTTTACTTTATCCGAAAATATAATTTATCTTATCTTAACTTATCCTGTTTGTAAGACTATAATATATGTGAGCCGTAACCTTACCTTCACATTTCAATTTTTATGATATTTTTTAATTCGAAATTCAATTTAGTTTAACGAAGTGTTTAGTTCCGCTAGTATTGTGTACCTATTAATAAGAAGACTTGTAATGTTTTAAGGTAGAATTAATCGAATACAAATTTCCTTTCTTAAAAATGTATTCTCTATAAGTTTTCTTTACTCTAAAAGTCTGAAATATATAATTCTTATTATCTCTCCCTACTCATATATTAGTATACTTTACATTTGTCTCTTACCAGGAACCAGTGTATCGAGAAAACTTCTAATTCCTAAAATCGTTTTATTTCAAAATTCTCTTCTTATGAAAAAATATGAATTTGAATGAGTTTTTAAACCATGAAGACAAAATTCTAAAAAATTCATATTATCTTGAAATAAAAAATATCTTAATCCCATATTCATTATAATAATATTTTTAAAAATAATTATAAATTTTAGTGTGTCAAAATTTTATTTTTATTAAGGGCATCAAAAATTTGGTGGATTAAGAGATTAAATTATAAATAAACTAAAATTTATAAATATATTTAAAAATTGTAAAAATAGTTTAGAAGATAGCAAATTTAGAAAAGATTAAAGGATATAGAAAAGATTAAAGACAAAAATGGGATATGGAGGGGGAAATTTAGATAACAATGCACATCTTGTGCAGATTAAGGAGTTGATTGAAAAGAAAAGAAAAAAATCTTTATCAAATGAACTTAATCATGACCATCATCACTCTTTGGAAAAAAGCAACATCAAACCTTTGGTAATAGCAGGAAGGATTGGTCTCCCCTTTAATAGGGAAAAGTTTATAATCATTCAGTTACAAATGATCACGTCAACATAATAATAATAATAATAATAATAATAATAATAATAATAATAATAATAATAATAATAATAATAATAATCCTTCCACTAATTAAGGATTATTCATTTATTTATTGTATTCATCTAATTTTGTGTGTTTTCAAATATTGGTATTGTCCATTTTACCCATGATATAATAAAGCTGGGTAGAATAGAAAGAGCATTGTCAAAAAATGAAAAATAAAAAGTCAAAAAAGATGGGTGTAGTGTGGGACATGTCTACCCACTTGTACTAGATCCTGACTTGCAGGTTAATTAAGTTGCAGGGGATCCCTTTACCTTCCTTCTCCACTTGCCCACTCCATGTGCATTACACACCAAAACCACAACACAATAGCATACTTCTTTTTTTATTTCCTTGTTGCTTCACCAAATTCTTTTTTTCTTTCTTCTTTTATCATGATATATGGTTGCAACTTGTGTTGGAAACATATCATTGTCTCACCTATTCTTTTATCATTTGTAAGTTTCTTTTATCATGATATATGTATTTAAATATCAAAGTTTAAAATATATTTTTGGAATACAAACCTACCTTTTCAAATTTCAAGACATTAGATACAAAATAATTGTTATTTCAGAAGTCAATTTTTTTAATAAACCATCGTCAGAAAACTTTATAATGAATAATATAACATTTATAATAAAAAGAATAATTTATTTATAAATGGATAAATAAATGTTTATTTATAAATATATACAAAATGCTGAGATAGAAATGTAAGAGTATTAATAATTATAACACAATTAATAAAAATTATAATTATTGACTTATTTAGAATTAACATTTTGTTTTTTTGTATTTAAACATGAAAACTATAACATGATATTTAAACTCTTATTATAACATGATATACAAACTTAAAGAGTTAATAATACATTTGAAAAGTGCAATAATTCTATTACAATGCACAATCAACATTAATGTAATAAAAAAAATTACATAGTAAAAAAGTATTGCACAATTCGATTAAAAAAATACAATAAAAATGTTATATTAAACATTAAACCGCTCAATTTTATTAATTCGCAAATTTTATATTTTATATTCATTTTACTATTAAAATTTTAGCTATCACATATCTGTCCCTTTTTTTCTAAAGATTTTACATAATTTATAATTTTTTTACGTATTTTATGATTAGTTGATAATAAAAAATAATGTTGTTTTGCAAAAATTGTAGTAAAAATGGTTATTTTCTGAGGAATGTCAACGCTATTTTATAAATTTAACTCGTATAAATACCCTTATTCTCACAAACACTCATTCAATAGTTCATTTTAATAATATAATATTAATAAAATTATTTATATTTATATATTTATTATTATTATTATAATAAATTTGATATATGGATGAATAATAGTGACAAAAAATCAGTGCCCAACTATTAAAAACTATAATGATAATTATTTCAATTTAGTTTTATTTTTTTGTTAATTATTTTTTTAAAATATGATCAGTGTGACCCATTGATCTACTAGACTAGGTTACGTTATTAAATTTTATGTTTAAAAAATAAAAATTTGGGAACATAAAAGGGTGTGAAAAGTAGGCCCAGCATTAAAGATTTTGGGCCCGATAAATATCAAACAAACAGTTTTTTGAGCTGGGCCTGACAATTAGTACACGTTCCAACGGCTAGTTTAAGTTAAAACATTTGTGATTAGAAAAACCGTTACTGTCTATTTATAGTTAATAAACTTAATATGGGGTAACCACCTTCTCATTCCTTGATTTTTCTTCCTCCTTCTTCATCCAACAACACTTTCCTCCTCCAAACTCAGGTAAGTGTGTCTGTGTTTCACTTGTTTCTTTCTTTTTCCTTATTAAACTGTTCGGTTCACATGTTTAAACAGTTTTAGCCATGTTATTATATTGTTAGCATTGTTTAATGTTGCATACATGGTTTAGTCTCACGCAAAAAGCAATTTAATAAATTGAAATTAAAAATGAAATCTCTCATGTTGAGTTTCAATTTAGAATGTGCACCATGTCATATATGTAAACAGATAAATTTAACAAACGAATTGAAAATGAGGGTAGCATTAAGGATGGATCAATCAAACCTGAAATGGAAATTGGATTTGATATTGTAATGACATATTGTTGCTGGCCATGATGATATCTTAATTCTTTCTAATCAACATAGGGTTCCTGTTTCTTTTTCTATGCTTAAGACATAATAGAACCAAGCAAGCTGTGTTTGTAACATCTACAATTAGAGGTTATAAATGTGAAGGTTTTCCAGGGTTGAACTTTGGAGGAAAGCATCGTGTCACGCAAGAAATTATTAGATAGTCTAATCCTATGATGGATGATATATAGTTTGACTAGAAAATACTCGAATGATGAAATTTGAGTAATATGTTCCTCAAATGCAAATTATGTTTTATAACGTACCATTGTTGAAAATCATTTTCAAATGTTCTGTCTTTATTGTATATCTGATTTAGAGGAAAAAAAAAACTCCTCTAATTATGTGTATTTATTATAATAAACCTGAATAAATTAAACCTTGTGGTATCATTCAAACACACAGTTCCCATTTCTCTTGTATCTGTTTTTCCTCTTTAAACAATCATGTTTTAGAGGAAGTAACTAAGTCAAATTTTGTGTTTCTGCTCCAACGACTCTCTTTATCTGCAAATTGCAATGTTTTTGCCTTTTGTCTCTGTCCTTTATATATTTTTGGTTTCAGTCTGGGTTCATGCACCTGTTCTTTCCCTGTTTTGTATTCAGGGCTGGCAAACAGTTTTTTTGAATGTCATATGTGTAAAATTCGTAGCAATGACTGTTTATGAAGAACTGAAGGAAGCTAAAGATGAAATCGAGAAACTCAAGCTCAAGACAAATTTACTTCAGGACATGAAGAAAGCCTATGCTGCGCAAGCCCATGAGATACTTGAAGCTATTTTCAAAGTTGAGAATCTGAATCAAGAGCTGCTTCAAAAGGCAGATGAAATCAATGGTGCTAAGCAGATAAATGAAGATTTAACCGGGAGTTTAAATAATAAAGAGTCCACCCAGCATCTCAGTGCTGCAAATGGTAAACTTGGAGCAGAATGTGATGACAAGTTTAGAAAGTGGAAAGATGAAAAAAGAAGGTTGGTATTGCCGGAAAAAAAGAAAATGGAGAACCAAGAACAACTGATGCATGTGTACAGAAAAGAGATTGAAAGCCCGAATGGTTGCATTTCAGTTTCAACCAACAAGAGTTTGAAAATAGAAAACAATTTAGAGACATCAAGAGAACTAGGAGAAACAAATGACATATCCCAGAAGTTAGAGGAGGAAAACATGAAGGTGGAAGAACAATTAAAATGGAAAAAGGAACAGTTTAAGCACCAGGAAGAGGAGTACAAAAAACTTGAAGCAAGTCAGGAGGATTGGGAGTTGGAAAAATCTACATTGCTTAATGAGATTTCCTCACTGCAGTTCTTGTTAGACTACCATATAAAAAAATCAAATGATCTGCATCACGAGTTACAGATGTGCAACCAAGCTCTTGCTCACGAGGAAAGCCAGAGAAAGCGTCTGGAGGATGAAATCTCAAATTTGAATAAAGAGAAAGAAGAGAAGTGTTTTCAGCTGATGAAGCAGTTGGAGTTGAAAGATGCTGATTTGATCATTGCCCAGCAACATAGCAATGAAGCAGCAAGTTTGATGCTAGAAGAATCAACTAAATGTCAACTCCTCAAAGAAAAAATTTTGGATATGGAAGTTGGTTTCAAAGAACAACTCACGGAAGCTTATGATGCTTTAGACAGGACAAATATTGAATTGGATGAGAGAATATGTGAAAGAAGTGAAATGGAGTTTGAATTGAGAATATGGAAGTCACTTGTTGAACGTTTGAAGAATGTTCTTGAAGAAAATCTTGTTATGCGCAAAGAACTGCAAAATTCACTCCTTGCACAAGTAGATTTTAGTGAGAGCCTCAAGCAAGAAAAAGATAGCTTGGTTCGCGAGTTGGAAGAGAAAGAGAACAAAATATATTCTCTGCGACAACATGCTTCCCAATTTGAACAAGAACAAAATGTAATGAAAACAGAATCTTTTGTTCCAGCTAGTGGGGTAACATCTGAATACTCTGATACTATGGAAGTAAGATATCTCCAAATCATAGAGGAGAAGAACAAGATTTTGGAAGAGTTCCAAAAGGAGGTTCTTCGGCTTGAACATGAATCATTTAGAAGACAATTTGAAAGTGCGGTTATTTCACAAAGAAATATGGAAAGAACCAATGAACTTGAGAAAGAGAAACCTATCCACATTACTGAGGACAAGAATACGAGCACAGATGAAATCATGCAGCAGGTGACTTCACTGGAGCAGAACTTCACCGGCTTCTTGACCTCCATTTCTTCACAGCTTGTTGAGAAACTGGCTGAAATTCTTCATGTCAAAGAAGCTTGCAATCAGATCACAGCAGCGGAGGTTCTAGCTGCTATTGAAATTGAAGAGAAGAAGTTGATGATAGAGGAACTTGAGGATGATATATATGATATGGAACAGAAACTGAAATTGCAAGAGGTAAATTGGAAGCAATCAGAACAACTTGCATTGGATGTTGAAGAAGAAATTGATGCAAAGCAATTCAAATTGATGGAGTTGATCGATCAAATGGAGAACAAGCTACGAGGCTCAGATGTTTTTCTTCAAAAAGTCAAGATAGATAATAGAAATTTGCTTGAAACTGCTACAAGATTGTCATCGGAAAGGGAATATTTGTTGGGTTTTGTTCTAGGATTGGGTGATAAAATGTTTGAGTGCACTACTGCAGACACTCAACTAATGGATAAATTGAGAAGCATAGTGCAATCTTTTGAGAATGATAGTCTAGGAATGAATAATAAAAAGGACGATGAATTGCATGTGAAAAAGAATATGATAGTGAATTCTCCCACAGGGAAAAAGAAACTTGATACCTTTTCTGATATAAGATCACCATTTAAGGTGCTCAACAGTTAGTTGCAATAGGGAAAATATTTGCTAGAGGAATGAGATGTGCATCTCCTAGTTTTTTAGCAAAAACTCACTCATCTTGAAGCATGAACAATTCTAGATTATTCATGTTTTTAACCTTGTATTTTATTTTTGTCGGGTTTCAATGCAGTTGTTCCGTAAGTTACACCTTCTTCTTCCATAAACCCTCTGCCTTAGAATTTCACAGTTTGTAAGACATTTTTGTAACTTTCAACTTTGAATCACTGCTTTAGTTTTCCTCTAAGAACATCAATATGATTTTCAAAACCAACAAAAAAAATCCGTTTGTTTAACTATTACTCCCTTTCAATGGTCCTTTTATTTTGAAAGAGTTTTTATTCTTCTTTACATGTCCTTAAAAGTTCAGACCATTAGTTATGTATGCCTCCATAAATTATTTTATAATTTTACACCATTGTTATAAATGAGAGGGAAATTATAATAAAAGTTGGCTTGAATATTAATATTTTTTTATCTTTATAAAATTCAAAAATAGTTTTTGGTCCAATAATTTTTTTCACCATTTAAAATGCTATCTAAATAAATTTATAAACTAAAACCCAAATTTATTGGAGACGAAAAAATTAGAGATAAAAAAAATTATCTAGAGTGAAAACATATGTAAACCTTAATAACATTATATACATTTAAAATAATTTTAATCTTAATCTTAATTTGTTACTCATTGCGCTGAAAAGGGATTAAAATAATGATTTAAAATATGTGGGGTGAAAATAAGAAAATTATTTATAAAGATTAAAACTAAAACTCACATTTTATAATAACTAAAAATGTTTATTTCAAATTTTATAAGGATGATAATAAAAAGAAAAACGTATATTTTAGTAGTTTTCATTCTTACCATAAGTACGTAAATAATTGCAGCTTTCCATGTTTACGTTGTCACTGTTACTGAAAATGAATTAAAGTGGATTACTTGGAAAATTTGTTTAAAATGGTTTGGAGGGATGAATTTGAGGAATATTTATTGGATGGATTGGTTAGAAAGACTGATAAAGCCAGCATGTTTGTAATTTCTATTATTATTATTATTATTATTATTATTATTATTATTATTATTATTGTTATTATATAATGATAATAATTATATTATTATTGTTGTTGAAAAGTTATATGTTAATTTTAATTTTAATTGTTTGAATCTAATATTTTATATCCCCGTTAACTGTACGAGATTATGAGGATGTAACACAGATTTATTAATTTTGTGGGTGTCGGAGTTTGTTTATCCTTAAATGAAAATTCATATTACTTTGTTTACTTATTTTTATCAGTATTAGTTAATTTTTAACTTTTATTATTTAAATATTTGTCCGACATTTTTTTTTACACAAAATGACAATATATCATGATTGAATTAATGATATTATTTTATTAAATACGAGACTCAAACGTTATCGTTTATTGATAAAATATTAATATTGGTAGCAAAAACATTGTCTCGTTTTATTCTATCTTTAATTTGGATATGGAATGAGACTTATATTCCAATACGGTTACTAATCTCACCTCATTTAAAAATTAATACAAATAATAATTTATATATTCTTTTTCTTTAATCTACAACAAAATACATATTTGTCACGTTGTCCCTTTTATACAAAACAATACTAAATAATTTTCTTTGTCGATCTATATTTTTTTTCCATAAAAATATTTAAATTTATTAGAAATATATAAAGAGAATTTAGACATTAATATTTATCATTGTTATCATACAAATAAAATAAACCCTTTAACTTTCTATTTGTTTAATTTTCTTACCCTTTAAACAAAACAAAATAACTTTCTATTCTAAATTTTTATTTTATTCCTTTTTAACACGAATTTTTTTATCCGTAAAAGATGTTCAATTAATTAAAACTTTATCTGAACAAAAACAAGAATAATGTAGCGAAAAAGGACCGGTGGTATGCGCATGCAGCGCGTGTCTGATACGAGTCGTGGAAAAGAAAACCGTGATTGACATGACAACATCAGAAATTCTGGTGCACAAATGCGAGGCATTAGAGGTTGGGCCCACAACAAATCAAAGTTCAATTTTTTTTAATAATTAATAAAAACAAAAATAATGGCCGTGTTTTGATTCGTTCCTTTGCGCTGCGCCTCGTAAAAGCTGACAGACAAAAAACCATTGCTGGTGGTATATTTGAGAGACAGATTCTTCTTCGTCACAGGTAACCAACCCATTTTCCAAATTCTCCAAATTTCAAATATTTTATGCGCATATTTTAATTTTCCCTGCTTTTTCTGAAGTTTCACCGCGTACGTATAATTTTTTTTAATCGTTTGTCTACACCGTGATGTAAGTTGCAAATTCAAGCTATTTGTATGAAGGGGTTATGGAGTTTTTATTTTTGGGTTTAATTTTAGTGTTTTGGTAATGAAACTGTTCTGTTTGGTGGTTTAGAAGTCAGGGCTGACCTAAAATTATAAGATGTGAGGATTTTGATGCTGCCTTAGTGCATGTTTAATTTCATGTTTGATTATCTAGAAATATATTAAAATATCAAGTGTCGTGATTTTAGACAAATATTCGCAGAATTGATTTCTTGTTGGATAACTGATTCAGGGCTTAAAATTGATTGAGTTGAAGTAACATTAGGTGGCTTTTCTCTTGGATAAAAGTTTATACTTAGTTTTTCTACTAACTTTCTTTTAAAACATTCAAACATAAATCACATCACTTCAAAATTAGTTTTAACTTAAATGAATTTCATTTGAAATCAATCTTCATAACTCTCACTAGAATTCATAGTATTTTGTGATGCCTTCGATCAAGAGCTAGTTTCAATCACCCTAGAACTTTACCGGAATTTAGTCTCAGAAATATATACATATTGTATCCTCAACATTTTGATGGCCATATAATTAATAACAGTTTAACTGCAGGTAGTTGAATTGAAAGATTATCAAAGTCTGAAATACCATATTAATACATTCTCCAGCTACCATTGGCGTTGGATATCTGTTTCAATACAAGAATGGCTCTTCCTGGTTCCTTGCAGTTGTCCCACGGACTGGGACTTTGCAGGAACCTGGGCTGCAATAAACATTCGGTACAGAATTTTTCTATAACTCTGTATTCTTTGTGCTGTGTTCATTATTTTAGAACAATTGTTCTCACTTTCACATCACTTTATGGTTTACAGAAGGCAACGGGACATGGCAAGTTACATTTACTTAGTGCGGGTCCTTCATATCCTATTTCGGTATGTTCTTAAAATATAGTGATTGGTGTAACTGGTGGGCCAAAATATTTTCATGGCCAAGTTGTATAACTTTAGCATTACACAGCTCTGTGTCCTTTTTTTAAGTTTTAGATTTTTTGGTATTGTTAAGTTTTAGTTCCATCCAACTTCTTGTCTGTTATTATGTTTTTGTTGGGACAATACTTTTCTGGTTTGATCTATAATAAGAGAAAAGGCGAGAGTAGTTGAGACAAGAGCTTTAAGATGGATGTGTAATCAGAAGAAAGAGCATACACGAAATGATTGAATACAATGATGCATTAGTGTGACACCAATCTAGGAAAAGATGACAAAAAAATTTTCAAGGTGATTTGAACAAATAAAGAAGATTGCTGGAAGCATCAGTGAGGGCAAAAGATTAAATGGTTTTAGTCCCATGTAAAGAGGAAGGGGATTTTATGGTGAACAATCTCTAAGGATTTGGTCTTTAACTGAGTCCAACAATGCCTTAGTCATCCATGTAGTCGACCTCACTCAATAGGACAAGATTTTCTTTGTTGATCTATAATACACTTGACAACAAATGGTTTTTTATGTAGCTACAATCCTAGGTTTTCTATTTACTTCAATGAATGACTTACGTCTAGTTTGGAAGCTTCTAGGGTATGAGAGATTCTCATTTATAAAGCCTTACTGTTAAAGCTTTTCTACGGTAAGGATATCAAGCTTTGTTAAGTTTATAGGTGCTAATGAAGAAGTTAGATGAAGAGCACTTCGAAAAGTGTAGAAGTTTGATTCATTTTTTTAACTTGATTGATTTTTATTTTTCATCTCTCATAAGTGTTTTGCTGAGAGGTTTATCCGAACTGGCTCTTATTCATTAGCATTCTACGGGTTTCTGCAGTATTGTCAAGCAATAATATTAATTGTTAAGGTGTTCCTTATCTTCCTGGTTTGATATCGAATGTTTACTTTATAGTATTAAGAATAACCTGATAATGCCTTTTCAAAATTAAGAAATGGCTAATTCATTTTCTTTTTGTATAGAATATACTCTCAGACAATCTTCTTCTGTAGTTCATGAGACAGGAGTGCAGGGATTTTCAACATCTTCGACATATAAACAAGCCAACACATAGATTATCATGCAAATCCCGATCCTTTAAGTGTAATTGTTTTATGGTGTCAGGCCAACCGAATGATCTTCCTGCTGTTAAGTTGGCTGCTACAGTGTTGGCTAGGTAAGTTTTGTGTTTTTAATGCCAACGAGCGTTCTAATTTAAAAATCTACATTTTTCTTTGTTAGAATATGTTAGTATGGTTGTTTTAGATATAGGAGGAAGACAGATTGAGAAAATTAAAGTATAATTTATATCAACTTAGATGTATTACAAATTACAATGTATTGATGTGTTTAATGTGTTCATAAAGACCTAGAGTGCTCATCTTTATTTATACTAATCATATTCCCTAACTAATTAAGGAAACAAATCATGGTAAGTAATGGAATGTGGTAACCAATCCTAAGAAATAATGAGGAAATATAGAAACTTATCTTAGAGGATAATCTAAGATATGATAGGATATTAGGATGCTTTTGGATATATTCATACATATATTCCTCGAGCTAAAGCTTAATAAGCTTTAAGCATGTTACAGATAAACCCTTTAAATAAAATAAATCAAACTATATAATTTCTGGTTGTGGAATGAAAGGACTAATGCAATTCTTTGGGGCTATTTTGGAGCCAGGCAACTGATACCATACTTCTGGTAAAGCCACAAGTCTAGATTATTTTTTCTGGGAAAGCCACAGTGGTAGGCATCTCTAGGGAAGCCACAGGAGTAGGTTGTTGATGTCTCTTGGAAAGCCACAGGGCTGACTGATACTTCAGGTAAAACAATGGGGGTGGATTGATTCTTTGGAAAGTTGTGCGGTTAGGATCACATCTCTGGAAAACTGGGGCCTGAATGATGTCTCTAATCTCACTTTGTACAATTTGAATAAAAGAGGTAGATGTGAGTATAGGAAGTCATAGGGCAATAAAAGAGAGAAACCACACCAAACACTTGACAAAATTGCCGGATAAGCCACAAATGGAAAAACTTGCTATAATGATGACATGACAGTGGAGGATCAGCAGCAGTGGTCAAAGACTATTAGAAACACACTACAAGTGTTCGGTGTAGGAGATAAGAACTCTAAGACAAGTGTGAGTGTTAAGACATGCCGGAAAGTCACAGCAAATGAACAAACCAATGAAGGAAACATCCAAAATAAGAAACACAACCAAAACTGTCGGAAGGAGGACATGAAAGCCATAAAACTGTTTGAAACACACTGGTAAAAGAGAGTGAAATACTAATTGATATTAACTATTATAAATTACAATGTATTGATGTGTTTATGTGTTCATAAAATGTAGAACACTAACAGTTATTTATACTAATCGTAATCCTAACTAATTCAGAAAATAAATCATTATATGATGAGGAAATATAGTAAACAATCCTAAGTTATAATAAGGAAATCAAAAACTAATCTAAAGAATAATCTAAGATATCAAAGAATATTATAGGATATTTCAATGTATTCTAAAGTATACACTTTTCTTATGCAGGTCTAGTAATGTGTTACAAAATAGTCCTATCATAGTAAAGTTGATTCCTGCAATTGGCGTTATCATTTTTGCAATATGGGGTGTTGGACCATTATTGTTTCAGACAAGGAAAATACTTTTTCAGGTTATATTGCAGTTGTTCTTTTTTCTTGCATTAACTGATTTTAACTGATTTGCCACAATTGATACCTAAGTCTAATATTGCAGAGGAGTGATAATAGTTGGAAGAAAAGTACCACTCACTATATAGTGACTTCTTACCTTCGGCCATTACTGTTATGGACTGGAGCAATACTTATTTGCAGGTCTCTGTTAAGATAATAACTTTATCAGATTCTGAATGTTATATCTTTCTTTGATGCACTTATTCTCCATGTGCTGAAATATTAACTAATTGCAGGGCATTGGAGCCATTAATTCTACCTTCAGAACCTGGCCAGGTTGTTAAGGAACGGCTTCTGAATTTTGTAAGATCATTGTCAACGGTACTGGCCTTCGCCTATTGTTTGTCAAGGTGTGCCTATTTCCTTGCCTTCATTTGATCTCCTGGAACTGATGAATATTTTGGTCACTTAATGATGCACTTAAGCACTTACTTAGGCTTTTTTACCTCATTAAGGAGAGAAAAATTGTCTGATTTTCTATTGTTACAACAAATTATGATACAAACATATTTGTCGTCTCACATCACAGCTTTTTATTTGTTTTATGATGGGGGACCATTCATCTATAATTCTTTCAAGATTATCATTGCTTAGCCAGTTTGAGTACTTCAGTCAGATTTTGGGTTCAAATTTAGAATGCTTACCAAGTTTTTCTTCCATAAACTTATTGTGAGATTCTCTTGTGCAGTGTAATTCAACAATTACAGAAATTCTTAGCAGAGGGTACTGATGCAAGTGAGACGAGAAATGTCTGTATCTTTTCTTTTTCTATATAGAAAACAGACTTTATAGTTATATGAAGGTTAAACTTGATACATATGTTGTGAATTCTGTATATTTTATCACCTGTTGGCTGTCATAATTTAATTACATATTATGACTCCATTGTAACTTTATTTCTCAATCAATCAAGGCAGTGACATTAATTGGGCAATTAGCTTCCCAGCTATGTAATGATGAGTAATTTTTCAGCTTTTGGATATAGCATTTCTACCTATCAATTTATTTTACGAATAGTGAAGAATATCAATCTTCTAAATTAACTTTTATCTTACAGAAAAAAATGCAGAACTACGAACACTTAAATATATGATGGCTATATCGTTTGCTATGTACATAGGCTAAAGAATTCATTATGGGTGTGTGTACGTGTTTAGATTATATATCATTTGTGGAAGCCCAGTAGCTTGCCAACTCCATTGCCAATTGAATATAATTACTATAAAAACTTGAAATTGGTGTATTGCTTGGTTATTAGTGGTTCAATTTCAATGACATAATAAATTGTCTGTTTTTGTCAGATGGGATTCCAATTTGCTGGCAAAGCTGTTTACTCAGCGGTATGGATTGCTGCATTTTCATTGTTCATGGAATTGTTAGGCTTCTCTACCCAGAAATGGGTTACTGCAGGAGGTCTTGGGACAGTTTTGTTGACCCTTGCTGGTCGTGAGGTGTGGGATTTATGATTTCTTCTAATCATCACAGTTCCTTGTATTTTAGTGGCCAAAATTTTGTTGTTGCACTTGTTGACATTAAATGTTATCTGGTCAGATATTTACAAACTTCCTTTCAAGTGTGATGATTCATGCAACTCGGCCTTTTGTGGTTAATGAATGGATTCAAACAAAGATTGAAGGATATGAGGTTTCTGGTACTGTGGAGGTGTGTTGAACTGCTCTTTTTAACTTTTGAATGTGGGAATTACTTCTATTATATGTACCATATTTATTTTATATGTAATAACTTAACAGAAGGACGTTGCAGAATATGGTGTAGTGTTTGATACCCTTGAGTCATTCTTGTTTTGGGCATTGATGTTCTCATGCTATGCAGCATGTTGGCTGGTGGTCACCAACAATTATTAGAGGTGAAGATCGTGAAGCTGTTCACATTCCAAACCACAAATTTACAGTGAATGTTGTGCGGAACCTTAGTCAAAAAACACATTGGCGAATCAAAACCCATCTAGCCATTAGTCATTTGGATGTAAATAAGATTAATGTAAGAAAAGTTTTATTGTTTATTTTTATGGTTAATTTTGTTCACCAATATTGAACATTTATGATAATTATCCCTAGATGTGACAAATGGTTTAATGCTTCTGCAGAACATTGTTGCTGACATGCGGAAAGTATTAGCAAAAAATCCTCAAGTTGAGCAGCAGAGGTTGCACAGGAGAGTGTTTTTGGACAACATAAATCCTGAAAATCAGGCGCTTTTGGTTAGTATGGAGTAGTTAATCATGCAAATCAATGATTGTATGATAACTGGACATGATCTTAATTCTTAAATACTATATTATTCTTTATTCTTCTTTTCCATAAATATTTAGCTGCAGTAATCATTGTGTGCCATAAACAATTTATTGTGGAAGAATTCATAATGTATTTTGTTTTTTATAGATCAAAATAACTTTCAGTTCCTTAGGGACAAAATTCTAACTTTGAGTGCTTTCTATAATCATGATTCATGCTTTAAACCCTACCCGTGGACTTCATTGCGATTCAATTAATTGAAATATCATAAGAGAGCAGCAACCAGTTCCTCTATGAATATTTAGCTTTCCTCCTCCCATTATGCTTTGTAGTCAGATCAATTTTAATTTAGTTTTTAGGTTTGGTAAATATCATGTTTAAATCTTGGGATATTTTTGTTTATACCGTTTTCACTGTCCAAAATAGGGTACTTAAAATAGGTTAATGAATAGTTAAACGGAATAAGTTGATACTTGATTTGATAGTCTACATATGGTATGGTGTCTATATAAAAGTACTGTGAAATGCCTATATGAACAGTAAATACCTGCTTTTGCTACATGTGCATCAATCATGTCCCATCAGATTTCCATGCTTCATTTAACAGACTGAAACTTTAATCAATCATTGATCAAACCAAACTATTGCCCATGTTTTATTATCTATGTAATATATGGTAGTATTATATTTTTGTAACATTTCTTTTCTATGATTTTCACAGATTCTGGTGTCTTGTTTTGTTAAGACGTCACATTTTGAAGAATATCTGTGCGTTAAGGTAAGAATTCTTCTTTATTTATTTAAAATAAAATATCTTCAATCTGAGATAAGCTTCTCATAAACTATAGGATTTATTTCTATTTTGTATTATTGTTCTTTGATTTAGCTGATTTTGCACCCTTGAATTTTGAAAAATAGGAAGCAATACTGTTGGATCTTCTTAGAGTTATAGGTCATCACCGGGCCAGGCTTGCAACACCGGTCCGTACCCTGCAGAAAATATACAGTGATGCTGACTTGGAGAATATACCGTTTGCAGATTCGACATTTGGTCGTGGTGCTGGCACTGTACCTAACCGTCCATTATTAGTGATTGAACCATCTTACAAAATCAATGGAGATGATAAGATGAAAAGTCGATCAGCACGACCAGCTCTTGATCAAGATAATAAGACATCTAACTCTGATGCCAATGGAAACTCTAAGACAGTTGTGACATCTAACTCTGACACAAATGGAAAGACAGTTGTGACACCCAAATCTGATCCTGAACTGGGTGAAAACAAGCCACTGAAATCAGATTCAAACAAGGAAAACGTGGAGGTTGCAGAACCTTCTTCTAAATCTAAAGTATACGGTTTGGTAGTAGAAAATTTAGCCCAGAAGGACATAGATGCCAAACAGTCCAAGGGTCAGACTACTAAAAACATAAAGCCAAATATTGAGTCTGAAAATGTACTGTCCTCCTCATCTAACAATGCTGACAAAACTGGTGGACTTAATACGAATATACCATTAAAACAGCAAGGAGAAAAGAAACCTGCTTCACAGCCTCATGCATCGAGGGCTGTTCTTGAAGAGAATATAGTACTAGGTGTTGCATTGGAGGGATCAAAGAGGACACTTCCCATTGATGAGGAGATTGACAATGTGACATCTCGAGAGGCCAAGGAAATGGCTGCATTCCAGGGTGGAAATGGATCTCCAAAGGCTCCAGATGGAAATGACTACTTGTAAGAAATGAGTTTAACTAGTTGTTTGAAAAATCAATGTTCCAAGTCCAGTAATTCACTGCTTTGAAGCAGTTTCCCACCTCTTGGAAGTTGTATATACTCACTTCATGTGTCATTCCCCTTTTACAGAAGGACTCAAGCTGTATTGTCAAATCATTGCATCATAATTGCACAGCAATATATGGAAAAGGGCTTTCTTCAATTATTCATTATGTCAAATAGTTTACTATGGATTTTGATTTTACATGAATTAACAAATATAAAATTTGGATCTACGCTTCATTTTTAAAGAACATCAAGTTTTGGCTTATAAGCACAACCTTTTGTGTGCAAAAAAGTGTCACTTGTTCTGCATAAATATATATATTTTTTCTTCAAATATAACATTATACGCACAATTTTGAATTGGATGAAAGCTGACTGCAATAGATGGAAAACTTTCTAAATTCGTTGCTATATTATTCACGTGACCATGTGGGTCATCTGGTGTGCTAGAAATCAACCCATCTTTGAAGGAATTTCTGAAGATGTTATTGGATTGCATTTCATGTGCCTATGATACTGTGAAGCTTTCCAGGTGCTAGTGGGAATACTATACAGATATCTTGGACAAACCCACCCTTAACTTTTGTTGTGGTTTTAAGGGTGGATTGGGAGCCAGTTACCAACCCTTATCATAACAGAAATTTTTAGAAGGTTTCTACGAACATGGAGTTTCTAATGTTTTATTGGCTAAAATACTTAATACTTTATTTTTATTTACTTTTTATACATTTTCATAAACATATACGTTGACCAAATGAAGATGACAGACTTGTTGTGATGTAATTAGTGTGTTTGAACAACTGGAAAGATATATTTATATTAATGGCATAAACACAACAAGGATAATAACAAAGTTAAAATAATATACAATTATTCTATCACTATTTAGTATGTGAAATGCAAAAGATCAATGTTTATTTTATATCAATTTAATCTATAATAAATAAATACTTTTAATATATAAATTATATAATAATTAAACATTGTAAGAAAAACATCTATAAACATATAAATCATGTTTTAAATTTATGATAAATATTATGATTTAAAGTTATACTTAATAATTTGTTATTTCTAATATTAAAATTTTAATTTAGAAATAAAGATGAATATGATAAATTGAAAAACATAAGTTAAAGATATAAAAATAAACACATTCGTATGTGTTTAGGTGAGTTAACCTTCATAAGTTCAAATAAGTTGGTGTAAAAAAAATTGTTACTCAAAAATGAAATTAGACTAAGTTAATCTACGTGTTGAATGGGTTCAAATCAAGTTAATATTTTTTTTTCTAATTTTTAATAATATAATTTATCTTATATATATTTAAGTATAACCAATAAAGAGAGATATTTTAGTAGATAAATTTATCTAATTTATTTATTTTAGTGATTTAAAAATAAAAAACAATTAAAAAATAAAAATACATACTTAACTGACTCAATTCACCTCTTTCACTAATTCCAGGAATTAAAATTCTTGATCAATAAAAAATAGTGTAACCATTTTTTTCAATATTATAATAAAGTGGATGATTGACTCTTTTCATATTAAAAAGAATAATAGGAGAAAATCGGTTCTAATTTTTTTTAATAAAAAATAATCAAATTGAACATATCTATTTTAATTCAATTCGTGGTCAAACTATCCATGTGAGTTAAATTAGTTACATCCTAAATATTATAGTTTCATATAATTATTTTACATGTTATATAAAGATAAATTAAAAAAAAAAAACAATATCCTCTATTTACATTATTGGCCCAATTAATTATTTCTAACACGTCAAATTTGGACATATAAACCTTTAACTAAATTGAAGATCTCTCAATGGCTTGATGAAAATACTCTCCAATTTACATTTAAATTTACAAAACTAGCATTGATGTTTCTTGGAAGGATTTCCCTATGATGAAATGGCATTTAATTTTAATATGTTTTTTAGTTCTTTCATAAAAATACTTTATTTAAGTTAATATGCTAAGTTGCTTTATTATCACAGTTAGTGTAATTTGGGTGATCTCTTAATTTTTTTAAGCAACTATTTGATTCAAATAACATTTAAAAATTACTATAACAAGATATCAAACTACCACTTTATGAAATAACTAGAAGTGAACCACATATGTGAATGAAAATACTTGCCATAACAACATTTGAAAATCTCATTCTTCAAACATGATGTCAGCTTTTGTACAAAGACATTTTATTGAAAGATCCTAATTTTATTTTACATTTAACAAAAAAATGTTAGCAGATGAAAATGGAAAAGAATCTCCCCAAGTCAACTGCTATTTAATTTATGGTCTTGCAATAAGCCAATGAAAGTTACTCCACCTTTGTTCTTAACTAATTGCCTTGAGGACAACGACAAATGAACAACTAATCAAAGAATAGATATATACTTGGTTATTGGAAAAATTTGGGACCGAATAGAAAGAAACACTTCAGATAAGTCTTCAAAAAATTCACATCAACTATCGCATCCACAATAATTTGAATGGTTTGCTGTTGAAACAAGTGGCACAGTTTCGGTTAAGAGCAGTGAAAATCACTTTATTTTTCACCATTTGGCTTGAATGCCCAAGACAAATTCAAGTGACCAATGAATAGTTAAGAAAAAGACAAGTACATGATGTCATGGAATGGAACACTTCAAGATAAACCTCCATATCAAGAATCAGACATTCTGAAACGTCCAAACTTGTAGACCCAACAATAGCTAGCCCCGTGAAGCACTCAATAAGCTCACAATAACAATAGCTATGTAGATTACAACGATGATTACCAAACAAAAGTTTTCTGTAAGTGGAAATTATTACATAGATCCAACTGTATTGACTTAACTATCACGTAGAGATTAATTAAGATAGTCCTGACAGTGACACCACTGGTGTGAAATCTATGCTAATGGAGTGATAAAGAACAAAATGGCTCATGTTATTGAATTATAAATAATAATATGGCTGGCTCCTGCTAAGAATGCCATCATCTGATAAATACATCTCTCACACAATACACAACTAACTCTCAAGCACTCTTATCAAGAACATCATAAACACCCCATATGATGGTAATGCTTCTTTTATTTTTCACCAGATATGATGTTAAATAATAAGACAGAGAACTATAAAATACACAGGCTACGTCGTGAGGAATAATTTAAGTATGCTACTGGTAGTACTAAGCTTGACACATGCAATCAGGAGCAGGATACGTGTAAATGGATTGTTTGGGCTTCCTGAGCCTTAGTTGGCCTTGTCTGCTTTGATGACCTTCAACCACTGCATCCTGAAACTCTGACCACTCTATGGTTTTATTTAGGAACAGCTGACCCATCAATGCCATATTTGGCCTTACGGTCTTTAAGTTCAGGTAAGTACGGTGTCCAACCTATCAGCACCAAAACATTAACTATCAGCAATAGTTTGTAACAATATTGTGATGATATTTATTTAGATTTCCAAAATAAGAAACTTTGTTAACGCAACCAGAATTGAACAGTTTCAACTAAAGGTTTCTTTAAGGTAGATTCCAAATGACAAATTCATTAGTGTTATTTGTTACATGGGCCATAATGCACCGGGTCATTAGTTCAAACTTTATTTTGGGGTCAGCATGAAATAAATGCAATGGATAAGTCTAAGTTGTTGACTAATTTAATTAGGGTCAAATTTCTAATGGGTCCCTAAACTAGTGTTTTATCATTGGGTCTTTGATCTTGTAATTTTTCTTTTAATCGAGTCCGTGGTTTTTCAAAACACTACCATAAATTGTCATTTTATGACGGTTTGAAGCTGCCAAAAACTAACTCGATAGTTTAAGGACCTATTTGATAATTTAAGCTTTATTTGGAGTTATCTAAAAAGCATCTAGCGCAACTCACCAACGCATTGTGCATGTTTCCTGGGGAAGCAGAGATGAAGATGTCACTATGCAAGCCAACATAGTAGTCAAGTGCAGCTAATAGAGAAGCTTTTCCCTTTATCTGAGCACGTTCATCAGATGAAGCAAGGCTCTTTTTGTCTTCCATTAGAGGAAACAATTCCCTCAAAGTTGAAATCCTTGCTTCTCCACCATAGACCTGAAAAATACAATAAACTATTTGACTTAAAAACAAGGAAAAAAAAAACCCTGTTTAAGATGAACAAGACTATAATGTGTCAAACCATGAAAACGACAATCATTTCCCTTTATCTTACCTTGTGGGAAGCGAGATATAAACGAGTGCTATTATCAAACCCAAGAGCTGCCAGCAACAATCCAACCTCTTCTGGAGTCATTGGACAACGACCTTGACTCCTCAACTCTTCATCAGTGAATTGGGAGTTAAGAACCCTCCCTTGCCAAATAACCTGTCTGTACTTTGCAAGGGCCAATTTTTCACCTTTTCCTCCACCAAAATCGCAGGCTGAATGTGCTGCCATATCCTGCCATAAAACATTTTATACAACTAAGTTATAAACTTACAGAAAAATGCATGTAACAATACAGCAACAATGTTCCGAAAATAAAAGGATAAATGAAGATGTGAAATAATAGATCCCACGCCCGTGTAACTTCTATATTGTGAACCACAAATAATTATGATTCATGAATGAGCCAATGTACATATTGTGACATACATATTTACGTTTATCACCCAAATAAAAGTAACAAGTAGAAGGCAAACAAATATTACAAACTTCTATAGATAGCTGATTATCAATAAATAGGAAAATAGCAATACCTTATCAAATCGGAGGTGTAGAACAACAAACTTCCCCGCATTTTTCCTAGCAGGTGCACTGGTGACCTCTTGAAGGTTGTTGGAGCCCATTTCTCCAGCTGAGCCTTCTGGATAGCGAAGGCGGCTGATAAGGGCATCTCCAAGTGTTCTGATATGAGGAACAAAGATTAAAGCTTCAAAGTTGACTTTACAGCGTAGATGTTGAATATCCATAGGTAAGTTGTCAAAACTCAGTCGATGAGAAAATGGAGAGATTGCAGCAATACCATAACTGCAACAAATGGAACATACCAGGATATTAGAAGTTCCTAATTCAGAGAGTATACAATGATAGCATCAGCACAATATTTTTGACATCAGCACGACATTTGAACTCAATCATATATGTACATAAATATACAAAGAGTACAACAGTACGTATTCTGCAGTGTAGACAACTTCCTGATGTTATATAACAAATGCTGTAATTTCAATTATAAGTTATTCAGAGCAATGATTGAATCAACCGTTATTATCATAATTGGACTTTAGACTTTTTAAGTCATGCATTATTAGCAATTAAAGTAAACGTAGATACCAACCTCTGTAGGACTGGCAAAACATTCTCCAGATACCAGTGGGCTGATGCATGCACAGGTGCAGCCTTGATTCTGGTTTCTCGAATAGCCAAGCCATAGTACTCCCTTGTGCTCCAAGAGTACTCTCCAGGAAGCTCTTTAACTATAGAAATATCATCCTTCAATACATCAATGAAATGATCTACATCAAATATATCCATGAAGGAGCTGCAGAGAAACATAAGCAACCTCAATATTACACCACACAACCCATGGGGCAAATAAATGCAATTATCTTGTCAGCAATTACCTTGAATCTCGCCATACAGGATTTAATTCAAGGTATGGGATCACTAGTGTAGCATTCAGTATCTTTGCAACAGCAACTGCATCACATATCTATGAACACTAAGATTAAATTATGCACCTTCACATATACACATAAGGAAAATTTTGATCTAATTAAAAGGCTTTAAATACCTACCCCCATCCTTTGCTGGTTCAAACCTCCATCGAGAAAGACTTGGATATATCCCTCGGACTTTTCTGGTAATGCTGCTTTAGTTCAATTGTCAGTCACAGAAAGATCAAATGAGCCAATAGATATACCAAAATGTCATGTATTCTAAAAGCTAGAGCAGCATAGAACAAAGGATATTAATGTTACTCACTTGGTTTATTTGATTCAACATAAGGTTTCCATCCTTGGCTTTCCAGAGGTGACCATAGTTCAGAAAGCTGTGATGTAGGCTAAACAAGGAGAAAATAATAATAATAAAAAATAAAATCAACATCCACTTCTAAACACAAGCCAAAAGAAGTAACTTGAATTGAAATGTATCCACTGCTCAATTAATTCTTACAGTTTCACGTTGCACGGCACTCCTGAGAAGACGCGAGTGTCTAGGTTTTATAGGATTCAATTCCTGCACACAATTAGTTGCAAGGTATAAGACACTAGAAGCCAACAAAAAAAATAAAATAAAAAAATGACAAGTGCCACATTAAACCTAGGAAATAGGTAACATGAACAAAACGATGTTCTGAAATCTGGTTCATTTCTAAAATGGTGACCATTCTAGTGGCACAACAAACCATAGATCATAGGAGTTAAGGGACTCTCACATGGCAAGTAGAAATGCCCATCACAATAAAATTCCATAAATCAAACCCCTCCTAAAAACTCCATCGTGAGAGAAACTTTCCTAAAGCCATAATACATGTTAAGTCACTCACAACACAAGGCCCAACTGAGCATTATGAAATTGAATTCGTGAGGAGTGAAAAAACAAGTAAATTTTTGCATTTTTTCTCTCAAATATAACACTTTTTTATTTAAATTTCTAACAAGTAACGACAAAAATTCCACAGCAGCCCCAAAAATGAAAAACGCGGTCCTGAAGCCTCTGATCTAAAATTAATAGCCTCTTAATTAGGTACACAAGTGGCACCAACCAAACCAAGTCAATTGAATCCATTAAATGGTTACAGTAAACCTTCTTGTTTCTTTCAAGCTGCCAAAAAATGATCACCGGAGATTAAAATCTCAACGGTAGCAACTTCAAATTTTTTTTCTTCTTTCTTCTCAAATACCAACATCAAATGTTAACGTTGGACTTTCTTAATCTCCCCCTCACTGCCACGCAAGAAAACAATTTTTTTTTATCAAACTCCAATTTCTAAATTAAATTCGTGTGCAACTCAAAAATCACCTAACAATCCACAAGTAACTAAAAAAATAAATAACAGCTTAGAATACCCCAGTATGAACAGTGATTAAACACACCGACAGATGAAAAAAAGTTCAAGGAAAAAAGAAATAAGCATTATTGGAAAAGAAAAAGTTGCCAGGAAAAACATTCCTGTTCAACCAAAATTATAAATGAGAAAAACTTTCCAAGGCCAAAAAAATATAGAAAAAAAAAAAAAACTGAACTCACCGGATACACAGAAGAAGAGGAAGCATAAGTGAAGCTGGAGAAGAACACTAGTGTGAAGAGCAAAAATGAAAGAGTAACAAGTGTTGTTGCTCTACAAGGGTGACCATGATTCAGGTACCCAGGCTCCATCATGATGCGTGGAGGAGCTCAACGTTGGATCTGAAAAGTGACCCCTTTTGCCCCCAGAAGTGTGACTATTTGTAAGGGAACTAATGCAGAGGAAGAAAGAATAAAAAGAGAGGAGGTTCTCAAAAGAGAGTAAACCCCATCTCCATAATGATGGTTTTATATATAGAAAAAAATTGTTTGGAGGGTTGTGAAGTGCAGATATGTGTCTGTGCTTGAAGGGTATTAGAGAGAGAGAGTAAAGGAGCTCACATGGACACCTGGCCTGGTTCACCGAATTGAATAATGATGAGGGGTGGCGTCTTTTTCAAGGGGACCCCAATTGATAAAGGAACAAAGTTAGGATTTTTACGTTAACAAAGGTGAGAATCACGAAGAGAGGAGAGAAGAAAGGAGAGGGTCACAGGTTTCACAGACAGGTGTTGAATGCTGATGCAGTTGGGTCGAGTGAGTGGTAAATGAGACCGTTTGTTGATCATTGGTGTTGTTGTTGGCATTAGCAAAATGGTGCGTTATTATGCATTACAAGTAAGTGCCTTTTTCTTCAATAGCCGCACCTTTTTCTTTTCTTTTTCGTTTTTTTAATGTGACCACCGACAACCTCAGCGGTAAATAATCTTGCTTTGTTTGGGTCCTCTCTCTTTCTACCTTCACCAGCGGAGAGAATCTCCTTTCTTTCTTTTTTACTCCCACCAATCACTCAAATAGTAACCAAAATTGTGAAGGGAGGGTGGTTGCTGTTCCTTTTTCTCCCTGCAAAGATTGCTAACAAAAACCATTCACCATGTGTTTTGGTTTTGTTGAAAGTGGTAAAATACAAGTACCTTTCATCACTCGACAGCGTAAGTGTGTACAAATCTATTTGTAAGAGTATTTTTTAGCATATATTTTTATGTGCACACTCATTCAAATAATATAAAAATATAATATACTTGTAAATAAAAATATAAAGACAAAGTAATATGTAAAATAAAAAAAATAAACCTTCTTTGTCTAATTTGGTATATAATTTTATTGAACTATTTGAAAGAAATTTTAGATACTTTTAATCTCAGTAAAATCCTCTTCAAAGATTTAAAAGATATGTAGTTTCTTAAAGCAAAATAAGACGCATAATCCTAAATTAAAACTAAAAATATATATTTTGGATAAACTTCATTTTACATTTGTAATGTATTTTTAATGTAAAAAAATGTTTATTATTAATTGGGATTAAAAAAATACCAATATCCTTCTACTACTTAATAAATTTTTTCAATAAGTTTTTGGTCAAATAAATAAAAAGTCGTAGATTACATTCTACAAGTTAATTATTATTATTAGTAGTAGTAGTATTATTATTTACATTTGTAATTACTACAACGTAAAATCTTTGCTTTTCCAACGAATATTTTCAAAGGTAAGGTTAATTTCTCGAATAATATTTAATAGACTTCAAATTTTGCTGAAACCCACAAACCTTTTCAATGATATCCAAAATTACAGTATTAAAATAAAATTTATTTAAAATTAAAAATATTTAATTTAAATCATATTATTATTACTACTATATGTGGACCTTATCTTAATAATGTTAAAAAATCGTTTTCTCTAAAAGATAGTAATTATTAGTCGAAATTTTAATTGGATGTAGACACCAGAAACACTGGATGTAGACAAGAAATATAAAGACGAAGTTTCTACACTTTTTCATTGGATGGATGGTTATGCTTTGAGACTCCGAGTCAACACTCCACTAACAATTCAACATATAACATAAAATAAAATAAAACAAAATATATAAATATTGTCATTCTATAAAATCCAAATTATTTTATTGCAATTTAACGTATTCCATACGGTCACCAAAATATATCTTTGTTCGGATACGATTTTGTTTTATAACAAACGATATCTACGTATTTCTATATGTCGGCGACTCGGCGCGAACAAATTTCTCCATGCTACAAAGAATATCGTTATTTTCTGAATCCAATTTTGATTAATTCTGGTAGAGAGAGTGGTATAAATAATTATAATATTACAAAATTTCAATTTATTTTTGTTTCAGTGAAATAATGTAGATGCTTTAGTTGGTTCGACTGGGTGAAAAATCTATTTTGAATTTCAGCTTTTCGATTTTCTTTTGAAGATATTTGGGATCGAATTAAATTGGATATAAGAAATTATTTTTAATTTTTTTAAATATTTCAGTTAAAACTCAACGTAAATAAAATGTAATTAAAATATTATATTAATATTATTGATTAAAGTATTTAATGAATTTGTTTGTGCTAATTTAAAATTATTATATTTTATATCTCTTCTTCACTTCTCTTTCCTTAAATATTTGGTAGTCTTATACTATTCCTTGCTTGACTCGTTTCAGTATTATGTGCGTTGAAAAAGGAAAAAAAAAAAAAAAGTAGGTCAAGATCTTTCCCCGTGCATGAATAATATAGTAATTTGGGTATATTGTGATATTAAAATGAACGTACAAGTTATTGACTAATATGAAGCATGTCCACAATTGTCAACTAAATGAGTTGTTTACACGTCTTAAGTTCCCACATTTATGGCTCTCCAGCAAAATCGTAATGCTTTAATTACATACTTTCGGAACCACAATATAATAAAAAATTCAGTATTTTATTTTTATAATACGTGATAACTTATGGGAATAACATTTATATATATTATGGTCATAAATTAAATTAGTCTATGATATAATAAGTTAAAAAAAAAAGAGAAAAAACTCTGGTGTAACCATTGACAGTTGTTTGAGGAAGGAGAAACTGCAGGCATTAAATTGCTTATTGTTGACCTTTCCGTTTCAGATAAGATCGCGTTCACATGTTCTTAACACATTTACACACCACCTTTTAACAACCACGATGCACCATGCTTATTATTATTTTTTAAAATATATAATTACATTATTATTACAAAATATTAACAGATTTTGTGACTTTTAATAAGGTGAGAATTTTCTTGAGCTGCATCGAGGAAATGACGTGAATTCCATATTCAACCTTGGAACGAGAATTATTGGTGCGTTATTTGAGCTGGCGCATGAGAGGTTAGTTCTCATGGGAATCGATCCTCGCATTCTTTTGTTTGCAATGTCAAATTATTCGTGAAACTTTGGGATCCGCTCACGCGAGGAACATCATTTTGTTTTGTAAATGTTAAATAAACACGCCTAAAATGCAGACAAATGTTGGGAGTATTTTATTTTATATAATAAAACTAAATAAATTCATTTTCTTCCATTACATTTTGAGAAAAATCATCTGGACAGATCTCATTTTTTCTTTTTAATGAAAAAACATTTAAAATTTCAGTTATAGCTTAAAAAACTAAATTATTTTTATAAATATAAATTTTTATTGTTTATAACTATTGTTCTTTCAATTTCATAAATACATTTTTTAAAGTAAAATATTTATTTATTACATTCAAACAATTTTTGTTAGGACATTTCAAATGATTATAATTATTACAAATTATTTTACACTTAAAAAATTCTTTTTTTTTTTACGATGTGGTTCGATGATAAATACTTTTTTATTTAATTATTCATCAATAATTATTTTTTATAATATTTCTTTAAATATGAAAGAGTTAGAATTTAATAACATCAACCGGATTCCAATCACAAAACCATTTAGTTAAAAAGCTCGAACTTGTATAACATTTATATTAACCAATAGAGATATTGATCTAAACGAAAAATTCTTAATAATTACTTTGATATTTATTTTGAACGAATTAACTAATAAAATAAGTTATTAAGTTTAGGTAAAGATGGATTTTTACACTCAATTAGAACTACTTGGAGTTTCTAAATATTTTGGCTATAACATTTTAGTATTATTTGTGAGGAATGATAAAAAAGTAAAAAATTATAATAAAATTGAGAGGATTATCTTCTTTCAAGGTATCTGTATCAGTATTCACTCGTGATAATCCACCTCAACGGAGGCACTGACATGAAAAACGATAAACGGTTTTGTCGAGAATCAGTAGTGACTATTATTTTATAAATATATAAATTAAGAAATAAAGGAGGTATTAAAATCAATAAGAATAATAAAAAAGATAATCAAAATTATGGAGATTTGGAGATCAAGACAAATAACATTGAATAAAAAAATGTTAACTTCAAGGGACAAAATTAGAATATGGAAATCCAGAATATGAATTGCAAAGACTTAGAAAAATGTTTGAAGTACGTATCATTTAAAAGAGATTGAGATTGAGTTGAATAAATAAGAAATCAAGTGGAAAAGTATAATATGATAGTCAAATGTCAAAGATAGAAGCTTTGAAAATATAAGGTTACAAGTTTAAAGGAAAAAAACCTAAAGAGAAAATTATGCAATAAAAAAATATGCGAAAACTGTTACTATTTCATTACGTCACATGCATGTTTATGGATATAATGTGGCAAACACATGCATGTTTATGGATATAATGTGGCAACAAAGTAAGTATATGAAAAAGAAAACAATTATAGAAAAATAACTATTCATGAATTTTTATTTTTATTTTGGTGTATTTTATTTAACTTTTTTTATTTTATATTTAAGTATTTTAATGGTTACATAAGAAAAATATAATTAGGGTGAAATAAATGTAAAAAAAGTAATTGTCAAATTGTATAAAAAACTTACATTATGAAAAACTACTACAAACAATGGACAAATATTTTATAATTCAGTTATTTGCAATTTTGATGGTCACTTTTATTGATTTCCTTTATCAATTAATGTTTTATTCTTGGTAATGAGTTATGTTTATGTTTATGCAATTTACTTTTTTTCCATATTTATTTTTGTTGTATATTTACTGTTCAACAATTTACTTACATTTACTATTCTCGTAATTTAATTAAATGTTACAAATTATAATTATATTAAAAATTTAAATTATATGTGAATGGTATTTAATAAAAATACATTATATCTTGATTATTGAATGACCGATGTTGATTGCATATAAATTCAAAAACAGTAAAAAATAAAAGAATCTACATGATTTTAAATGATTCATTGTGTATTTGGATATATGTTTATTTAATGGAATAACAAACCATTTATTATACTAGAAATAAATATATACAGAGGAACACTATGATTGTGATCTATAACCAAATGGAACTCAAATTGTTATCAACAAAAAATGAGTGTGAGAGAGAGTAAGATATATGGAGGGGATATCTAGTACGTCGACATGCAATTTTTTAATGTATGACTCTACTGAACTATTTGATTGATCTTAATAAAAAATTAGGTCCTACGGAAAGTCAAACTCAGGTCGCTAGATTGTATGAGTATCATCTACTTCAAGTAAATCTTATTTGATTAAATTGATAGTGTTTTTGTTAATTATATTTTCGTTCTTTGAAGATTTTTTTCTTTTCCCAAGTTTTTACTTTGAAGGTTTTGAATGATAAAAGGATTCGAATAATCGCACAATCGAGCTACTAGATCTTATTTTTGCCATCAACTTATGGCTATCATTGGTTTATCATGTGGTCTTCGATGACTTTACTCGTGACCTTATGCAGTTCATCACATGGTCTTCAACGACTCTACTAATGATCTTATACAATCCATCACATGGTCTCTAACTACCCTATGTTGGAAAAACAATAATAATAATAATCCTGATTTTGATTTTAACGATCAAACATAAACATAATCCCATACTGATAAACATGTTGTAAACTGAATGCGAAAGCGTACCTGAATTAGCCATAATGATGATGTCTTTGTAGAACACTATATTGATCTTATGGTTTTCCACCTGAAGAACACCTGTATTTCCCTCTTGATTTTCTCTCTTGATTTTCTCTCTTGATGGGGATAGAAAGAAAGGAACAGGAATGAAACTTACGTTTTGTCTGTGTGCTCCCAGAAGGGGACCATGACCCTTTAGATAACCAGAATTAGGTTAATTACTTAAGTTTTAGTATTTCCAATTTGGCCCCTCATCAAATTAGAAATTGTTCAATGGTCTCTACACAATTTTATTTTCATGACATATGCCTTTAGCCAAAACTTTAATTTAGTCAGATCACTTTATTATTTGGCTTAATAAATAATGACCCTAACACATTTAAATTATGTATCATATATATACATGACCCAAATTTTGCCAACAATCTCCCACTGGTCACAAATATATATGTCTTTACAACCTTACAAATGTGTTAGACTTTATGAGCTCAAAATTGTCATTATATTCCTTTAGCATGCTCCAAAAGTCCTGTCCATTAATCATATCAGGATATAGAACTAAACCAACTTTTCATTGCATCATCGCAACTAAAACCAACAATGATTACTCATCCTAACATAACCAAATGACATGGATTCATCATGAAATGTGTAGCATGAAAAATTACGTGAAGGTGATCTGTACACGTCTATTTTCAACTGGTCCAAACTTTAACTTATCGAGATCGATATAATATCCTTAATGTACAAAGTGTAATGAATGAACGAAAAACTGCATATCTATAGATAACCAAATATGTCCAAAAATCAATGTATACATATATGAAATTAAACATAGAACATAAAATATATGAAAGTGACTAACTCCCACTAAACCACAAATTCCTCAAACTGTAAAACACCCATGTGAGCAACATGCTCATGAAAGACCTTGGGCAGAAGTCCTTTAGTTAGAGGATATGCTATCATGGAGTTTGTCCTTAAGTGTTCTATGAAAATCTGTCCACTTTGTACTCTTTCCTTAACAATACAGCTGATTTATTGTCACAATATAACTTAAGTGGTCTTTCAATGCCTTTCACAATTTGCAGCCCTGTGACAAAATTTCTCAGCCATATTACATGATTTAATGCCTTATAGCATGTTACAAATTCTTGACATCCTACAAAATCTGAGTCAGAAAACCCAGCGATCTCCAACTGGTCTGACCTCCTATATGTGAGCATATAATCTTTTGTTCTCTTTAAATATCTTATGACCCTTTTTGCTGCTTTTCAATGGTTTATTCCTGGATTGCTTAAATATCTGCCTAGAACCCCAACTATATATGCTATGTATGGATACATACATACTTGGGCATAGATCAAACTCCCTACAACTGATACATAGGGAATCTTTTGCATTTCCTCAATTTCCAAATTCCCCTTTAGGCACTGATTGAGACTAAACTTGTCTCCCTTTAAACTTGTGATATACACAATCATCAACAATATTCATCTTGAAGCCAAATGAGTTTCATACCTTCTGGTAATGGGACAAGTTCCCAATAACCTTATTGTTTTGCATGGACTTACACTTATCATATTACTTCAATCCACTTTTGAGAGTTAGAACCTTGTATAGCTTGACGGAAGTTAACTGGGCCATCTTCCATTATATCATTATTTTCCTCATGTTACTAAAAAAATACCATGTAATCATCCGAAATAGCACTTCTTCTTTCTCTAGTGGATCTCTGCAAAGTTATTAGCTCATGATGCACAAGTTCTTGAGGATCTTGAGTTTGTTCTTCATGAACAACCAAATCATCTTGAGTAACGGGTTCATCAACAATACCTTGTGGAGGTTCCGAACTTACTTTATCAAAAGTAACTATTTGAATCGGTTCTGAAATTGTTACCGATTCTTCCTCCAATATGAAGTTTTTAATCTTATTCTTCCCCCCAAACTCAATATCCTCAAAGAACGTAGCAGTTCCCGTCTCAAAAATTGTCTTTAATGTGGGATCATAAAATTTATATCCCTTGGATCTTTCAGCATAACCAATAATATAACTACTTACTATTTGGGAGTCCAATTTCTTTTCATTTGACTTATAAGGTCTTGCCTCAGCTGGACAATCCCATACATGGAAATGCTTCAGACTAAGTTGTCGCTCAATCCAAAGCTCATAAGGTGTTTTAGTAGCTGCTTTAGTTGGTACTCTGTTTAGAATATAAGCTGTCGTATTTAGTGTCTCTCCCCAAAGTGATTCCAGTAAGGTGGAATGACAAATCATACTCTCTACCATATCTTTAAGAGTGTAACACAAGCTCAAACGTCATGATCTGATTGTGACCTGAACACTTGTGCCATAATGCACCTGAATGAGTATTTTCAATTTTACGTTTAGTACC